CACAGTTACCACAACATGAACCACCATTACCACAGCTCCTTCTACTGTCAAATACAACATGAACCACAGTTACCACAACATAAACCACCATTACCACAGATCCTTCTACTGTCAAACACAACATGAACCACAGTTACCACAGTTCTTTCTACTGTCAAACACAACATAAACCACCATTACCACAGCTCCTTCTACTGTCAAACACAACATAAACCACCATTACCACAGCTCCTTCTACTGTCAAATACAACATGAACCACAGTTACCACAGTTCCTTCTACTGTAAAACACAACATAAACCACCATTACCACAGATCCTTCTACTGTCAAACACAACATAAACCACCATTACCACAGATCCTTCTACTGTCAAATACAACATGAACCACAGTTACCACAACATGAACCACATCTACCACAGTTCCTTCTAGTGTCAAACACAACATGAACCACTGTTACCACAGTTCCTTCTACTGTCAAACACAACATAAAACACCATTACCACAGCTCCTTCTACTGTCAAACACAACATGAACCACAGCTACCACAACATGAACCACCATTACCACAGCTCCTTCTGTCAAACACAACATGAACCACTGTTACCACAACATGAACCACAGTTACCACAGTTCCTTCTACTGTCAAACACAACATGAATTACTGTTACTACAGCTCCTTCAACTGTCAAACACAATATGAACCACTGTTACTACAGCTCCTTCAACTGTCAAACACAACATGAACCACATTTACCGCAGTTCCTTCTACTGTCAAACACAACATGAATCACTGTTGCCACAGTTCCTTCTATTTACATGTTCTAGAAGCAGTCTGACACTTTTTTTTCTGTTTTYCAATTGATCAAAGACTGTAGTTCTGTGGATTTTTACAAGTATTGAGCTTAAATATCGGAGAGCTGTCCTCAACACGACTCAGCTGTTAAAAGTGACCCCTGTCTTTCTGTTATGTGTCAGGGAACAGGACTAGGAATTTACTGTTTTTTGTCTTTATTTATTGTTTTTTTAGGTGTAAGGAGCTAAGATACCTGGTTTACCAACATTCAGTTTATATGTTATTATCTGAGTGAGGKCTGACTCGTGTTTGTTTGAACATGTATGTGTGAGAAATGAACCTGTGGTCTCATAATAACCATGATTCCCCACAGTGGGACTCATAACTCACAGAGTAACCAGATGATTACATCTTGATTACTGCAGCAACAGCTCCGAGGGCATGTGTGTGTGTTTGTGTATGTGTGTGTGTGTTTGTGACATAGTTCCTGTGTGATGATAAATCATGTAAATGATTCTACATGCATGTGAAACTGGGTGAAACCAGTTTGGTGCAGCTGTTCTGTGACCACACACGGCAGAAGGGAGATTTTTTGGTCGGGGTTTACTTGCTGCACAGCAGTTTGGAGATAATGTGTTAAAGTGAAACTAATAGTTCGATAAACAAATGTTGATTGTTTCTGACTAAATATAATTTTCAGCTGGTTTGGGGGGAAATAAATGGAACAATTTCCAATTTCAGCCTGTTAAACAAGAAAAATGTGCAGCTTTTATTTCTAAGTTTTAATGTTTATGTTGGAAGAAACATATTTTTCTTTTAAAGTGGAATTTWCTTGATTTTGCTGTTGTGTTACTCTGTCCATTTCCTCTTCTTCACCTCTGCTGTTACACATTTCAGAACACAATTTTCTTTGCTGGTTCTGATTCTTTTTCACTTTCAATTGAGTTTTTTCTATTTCCTGTAACTTTCTTGTTCTCACTTTCTAAAGTTTTTCTTCCTTTCCTTCTTTTAGTAACAGCCTTTTCTTTCATTCACACTTTATTCTTTTAGGTTCAGCTTTAACTTATTTATTTTCCTTTCTTCGCTCCACAACTCTCTCTTATGTCCTTGTATTTTTTTTCTCCTGTCCTTATGAACAGATTTGATTATGTTTCTGGTTTAGCTAAAGAGAAATATAAATGAGAAGCTGCTTTTCTCTCCTCTTTCTGCTCCAACTCGGCTCTAAAAGTCCTAATTAAGGGTGTTAGCACATCACATGGACCTCTGCTCCACCTGTGGAAATGAAACTGATTGAATTAGTGGATTCTGTGGGAGACAGAAGTTAATCATAAGTTGTAATTTTCTACAACATAATCAGTCTTTTATTATCTCAAACATCAAGAGGACATCAGCGAGCGGTCGAAGTGACACACGCAGGCATTTTGACGTCTCCAAGGATTTAATTATATTTCTCAGCTCCTGTAAATCAGTTAATCTGCTGAAAGATACCATCTATTTACTGAGACACCCAGTAAAACTCTTCTGATTGTTAATTAAAACCTCATTCGTCCTGGTAAATACCAAGAGCTTTGAAGGCGGAGGCCGAGCGTGAACAGTGCGGTGCACGGATGCTGTTAATCAACGTTACCGTAACATGGTTCAATGAATTTTTCACTGATTGGATAAATGAATGAAGTGATGAGTGTTTGTACTCACAGCTAATGGTGATGAAATGGTTAAACGACAATCAAGCTGCAGAAACAGAATCTGACAAAAACCGTTGAGTCATACATTTAGAGCTGAGAAACACAGATTATCACCTTCAAATTTAATTAAAGACGTTGTGAGTGTCATCCTGATGAGTGTTTTGATTTAATAATGCTAAAACAATTAAAGGTCCGGAGGGGATTAAGGTTAGATTAGGTCAGATTAGATTAGATTAGGTTAGTTGATAAAGGGTTTTTGTTCTTTTGTACAGAATAAATTTTTGGATCCAAATATTTAAAGACTAATTTCCATCTGTATCTCCATCCATCTATTCACCCATGCATCCATCCATCCATCCATCCATCTATTCACCCATCCATCCATCCATCCATCCATCTATTCATCCTTCTGTCCATACATCCGTCCATCCATCATCTGTCTGTCCGTCCGTCCGTCCGTCCGTCCGTCCATCCATCCATCCATCCATCCATCCATCCATCCGTCCATTTTTCTGTCCATCCATCATCCATCCATCCATCCATCCATCCATCCATCCATCCATCCATCCAGCCGTCCATTGTTCTGTCCATCCATCCATCTAT